TCGAAAATTAAAATTTTGAGTTTTTGGGGTTGTAATAGTAGAATAGTACCTAATTAGACCCAAAGCAACTATTCCAAGCCCTAACCAGCACATAGTACCACATAGCAAATGATTTAGAAAAAAATGTCAACTACTCTACAGAGTTCAACACTTGCAACTCACTAACAAAGTTCTAGTAATACTGCGCACTGATTGTAAGAGCCAGGAAGATTTCCACGCCCTTCCTCATCGTTCCGTAGCATCCACCCGATTGGAAGACGGCCATTGCACTGATGGACGAGTGTATGTATGGCTAGAACTTTGAACCTATTAAGTAGAATATAGAAGAAGAAATTGGGGCAGGATATTGATTTCCAGTCGACCCTCGACCTCGTCACTTCTATAAAACACTGCCACCGGTAGCTCGCTGCGGGACCCGTTTAGGTGAAAAAGTGGCGTTCCTTAAAGATATGCGATAAGGTTCAAACAGTGCCCTACTGGGTGAAAAAAATGGGAGGAAGAAGTGCGTAAAAGATTCTCCCAGCAGTTTTTCATCTCCACATCGATGGCATGGTTTGCAGACTAGCATTCACCCGAGTCCTTTCATGAAAGAGGGTGGGAAGAAGTAGATAGATAGAAGGGGAATGATGGTGAAGATCGATGAGGAATCCGTTTTCTCTACGTTTGTTCCTGACTCTGACCATTAAAAAGCAATTATTTTGTTACGGTATGGCGAAACAACTTGAATAAAGTTTCTAAGTTGTCTCACTCACGAAAAAGAAAGTCCTGACAGCTGAGAAACTATCACGAAATGAATTGAAAATGCGTCAAATTCCTTTATTCATTACCTACCGGATACCTTATGAGAATGATGAGAGGTATTACGGTACTGCGAGAATCACTGTGTGAGTAATAAATGATAAAGCGTAATAAATATGTTAATTCTATTATATATACAGAATTTATACAGTATTAGTCATCGTCTTCACTCAATCCCATTTTCAAGGCCTTGAATCCGGATGGCATTGCGAATTCGGCGATTTGCTTGTGATCAGAGTCGATAGCTATTTTTATGAAGTATTCTCCCTGAAATACACAAATTTCAATATTTCATCTATCAAAATTGATGGAAATGGAATGGAACGGAATGTACAGAATCACAGTTTCTTATTTATACTATCACTATTGCTACTTAACAGTAAGGCATACCTTCAGTAAGTCTAACAGTGTTATTCCAAGAAATGAAGGTGACGGTGGTAGTTCAAGAGTTGAGTTAAAATTCAGTTTGTCCTGCATTTCTGTAATTAAAAGTGGATTTTTAGAGGAATGCTCCTATGACTAGTGAATCAATTTTTTTGCTTCAATCAGTTTTTTCTTATCACTACTAGAAGTACTGCTTGGAAACTGGAAGGCTTAACAGGCTTACACCCTACAGACGAGTGTATATTTTATTTAAGTAGTGGTACATGTATGATCTTAAAAAGCGACTCGGTAGCTCACCTTTTAATGTATGAGTTCCTTTCGATTGCAAAATACGACACATATCAGGCGGGATAACAGTTTTGATGTCGAACTGGCTGAAATTGAGAATCAGTACGGTATAAGCAACTTGAACATAAAATAATTTTATTCATCGTTCTGTTTAGATTTCTCTTTCTGAAAGGGGCCTACAAGAACGGCTTCAACTCCAACCACGGCAGCAGTTTCTGATTGCATTTGGCCCAACGGCCATTAGATGCCAAGTCAGCGCTTTGGCTTGATTTGCCTGAATGGTGTTAGCCATTCATCCGTCTAGGAGTCCTACATTCCCTGGTGTCATCTATTCATCGGTACTCTTGACATTTTACCACTGGATTTTATCAACTACCACTAATACTTACCACAATCTGCTTGGTATGATGATCATTCCACTCTCGCCGTTGTGGCAGATTTTGGTGCTTCCCAAATGTACAGTGGCACGAACGAGATTCGACTCGAAAAGATCGAAATCTCTTGGCGTCTCGACTTCACCTGAACAAGTAGATTCCGAAGTAGCTGTTTTCGAAAAGTGGAAGACAACATCACACTGCATTCTACCCAAAAGCAACTTTTTCCTTCCCAGTTGGCATTTTTCTCAAAATAAAGAGGAAACACGAACAAATGAGGATAGTACCTGATATAATATGAAAATATCCTGGTAGAAGGACATTGACTTTTCCTTTATGACATGACGGCCTATAGTGAATGTCGTAAACAAGAATCGTTATGTTTCGTATTCGAACCGGTAGTTTCCCTAAAAAAAAGTCGTTACCAGGTGATTATGAGAGAGCAATCCATTGAACTTGGTATACTTTTACGTTATTCAGCGATCCTGTCTTGAAACACACTTTTACCGGTCGTTAAGTAATGTTATGACGTCTTATGGTAATGTCAAAGCTGGACAGAAAGAAGCTAATAAGGGATATCATTCTGTGGCTTCACATTTTTGTGTAAGCATTCCCTAGGTGGAGATCTCATTTTTGCATGACCACAACAGTTCGAGAGGAAATATGAAAGCGGAAAGCTGACAGGGTAGTCAAAAGGGTTGAAACGAAAGTAGGCTTGGCGAGCTTTTAACAACTCTTTTGTGATTGGAATTTGGAATTCCCCATCCATCCGTTTAAGCAGCAGTTCTCAGGCGTGAAAATGGACGAATCAGGTCAAAAATAGAGACATTTTGTTGGAATTTCTATCATATTTTCTACAACCTCTTAAGGATTTCCAAGGTCTAGTAACCGAGAAACTCACCACTACCATAGGAATCGACTGTAATGACATTATGAACTCCGTCTATACATTGTGACGCTATCGTATGAAATATGCTAAGAAATAGAATTGCCACGTCCCATGAACTCATTCCCTGAAAAGATTTTCTTCATTACCGTCGAGAAGTTGTCGCCTTTGGTCAATTATCTAATCGGAAGACAGAAAGTAATCAAAAAGGAAGCCAAGGCTGGAGCATTTACAATTAGAAGGAGCTAGATAACGTTTCTGACTAATAGGTGGAATCTTGCAGAAGTGTCATATCATGTTCATTACGAGGAATGCAAGAATGCGCCATGTACCCAACTTTCATACAAATGTTCACGCACCTGAAATTCTTACGCGATCAATTGGTGAGGTTTCTATAAGAGGTGACATCAATTAATAAATCCCATAAATAGGAGCTTCTCTTTATCAATTCTACAAAGGCTTTGCTTCTCGCTAGCCTTTTGGTTACTCTAGATGGAAAGAAATAGCTCACTATTGGCTCAATGATTAGGGTTCCCTGTTTTGCCTTTAAAAATGTGAACTGAAACACGTAGGCCGACACAAGGACGCATTCTCGTGCCATGGAAGCATTTTTACCTCATGCTAGTGGAACTGGTAATCAGCAAGTTTTTATCGAGTTTTTTCGCAGTTGTGCAGTAGAGTTCCAGTTAGATTGACCGTCCACACCGTCAAGATGTGCTTGGGGGTTTTAGAAGGTACTATGCCCCTTTGTTGAATGGTGGGAATTTATTTTCCAGTAGCTCTGCTTTATGGTGCTAAGTACTCGATGGTGTTAAGTACTAGGACTACAGTAAATAGATCATAGTCAGTGACGAAGGAAGGAGCTTGAAACTCGAATTCGTAGGCTTCAAGGTTCACAGAGAAAAAACGAGCGATACGACCTTTGAATTCGAAGCTCAGAAAATCAGTTTAGCAGAGAACTATCGAATAATCTTGCAGAAAACTTTCGATTGTATCTTGTCAGTGTGATAGGAGTAGTGATGCTGTAGTGAGCGCCATGTGGCGTTTACAATGCCATCAATGACGTTCTATCAACACTGTAGATGTTACAGTAGAACGAGTTTTTTCGTCATCAATGATGAGAAACTCAGTCTGAACCATCACCGATCTGCGATATTTCCCGTTTGGGTGAAATTCAAGAGTAGGTAACGAGAAAGCCATTGAAACGTCACGCAAATCAAGGTTCCACCATTAAAAAACCTGTTTGACACAGAAGCATTGAACACCTCTGAGATCATAAATACTTAGGTTTCAAAAAAGACAACTGTAGAGGTAGGGGTATTCATCTACTTAAGAATGAGCCATGCACTTCACTTTCGTAGGAAAAATGAAGGCTTTTAAAAGAACATAAGGTTAGTGATTGTGATACACGCTGAATTCATTTTGGGTTTCAAAAAGTAGCAAACTTCGATGTGGTTAGTTGGTGGTGTGCGAGGCCCCAAACAATTCTAGGGACATCCTGGAAAACACCTACACCACCTGAGCCATTTCAGATAAACTTCACTTCGAAACTTTGAAGAATCAAGCAAACTAATGCATTTGCTTTAATATTAAGAAGCTTGAAGCGTAGTAAGTAAATACTTCTTGAATGTCTGACTGAGAAGTTATTTTGGTTCGTTATAATTCTCTCGCTCAGAAGGATTGAAGAGATTTACATTGTCTAGTTATCATAGGTAGGACTTCATCCACTAAGCTTTCATTTTGCCTCCCCAAACTGACTCTTCAACATTTCCTTTCCTAGTTATACATTGATGAGGAAATGTTTACCAGTTAGGGATTGAACGAAAAGTACGAGAGCTCATGAATATTAAAATATTATTAATGAATAGGAAAACTTCAAAGAGCTAATTCTAATATCAGGGCGAAAAGTAAGACTTTGCTCGAAGAAAACCCTTAAAAAATTCAGTTATTCTAATTCATATCCAATCGTTTGAGTTAACAAATAAGAAGTAGAGCGGTAAGAAAGTTGAACGAAAACTAAAAAAAAATCGAAAAAATTGAGGCTGAACAACAACAATGTACGACGATCAAGTAGTAAAAAAAACATTGACAGACAGCAGGTGCTAGTCGATAAGGTCATGATTTTTGATCATTACTAGTTAATCCTATGAAGCAAGTGTAAAAAGAGATGATTCCCTCAAAACGGGTAGTCACTCCAATTTACTATCCGGCCGCTCTTATTGATCTCTGCAAATTAATAAACAAAACAACATGAAGCTATAAATATTGATTATGGCTACTGCTCTGGAAATCGTAAATACCACTTGAATAGTACTGAAGGAAGATGTACTTAGCGAGAGGTAACCTTGAGCTTGACCGATGAGTGCTGCGGAAAGAAGTAAGTGCTGGGAAAAGGTCCAACATTTAAACAACTGCACAAGAATGGCAGGGACAACTGATTTGAATGGACTCCGAGAAGCTTATGAAGAAAACCTATTGGTTGCTACGTTGAAAAGAGGTTATTGACGGAACAGCGCCATTTTCAGACACAACTGAATGTCGCTACCCAGTCTGGGTAAGTAGCATAGATCGGATGATTGGTTGGGTGTTGTTGATGAAAAGTCAGACATCGTAGTCCGTAGTGGACGAATGAAATGGACAAAATACATGCATATTTGATTCGAAGCGACCACTGGCCACCAACGTTGACAACAACAACAGCAGCCTTTTCGAGCTCTAACGTCATCGCGTGACAACTTCGTTCCGCCAAAAATGCCCTTAGGGTCTGTTGTCTGGCGTATTGCCAACAAAGAACCCGGAACTTCAGTCCGGCACGTGACTCGGGAGGAGAGGATGGCAGAACGTGGAAAAGGTCACATGGGTTTCAAAATTATCAAAGGATAAAGGGTAAAGTCTTGAGGCGTTGATCGATCCCGTCTGGGAGATGCGCCCACGCATTCGTCCTCCATTCAGAGTCGTAGTGGTGTAATGAATGCGTATATGGCCTATACAATAACTTGGCCAGCCGATGTACAAGTCAGTGCTTTTATCCTACCAGACGAGTCTGNTCTCCCTCCCCATTTGAATGCTTTAGGAGAATTCCGGACCAAATTGAAGAAGTGAAGCCAGTCAGAAATTTGGAAGTTTGGGCCCATGACACTTTTCAATTTTGAAGGANGGGAGGAGAGGATGGCAGAACGTGGAAAAGGTCACATGGGTTTCAAAATTATCAAAGGATAAAGGGTAAAGTCTTGAGGCGTTGATCGATCCCGTCTGGGAGATGCGCCCACGCATTCGTCCTCCATTCAGAGTCGTAGTGGTGTAATGAATGCGTATATGGCCTATACAATAACTTGGCCAGCCGATGTACAAGTCAGTGCTTTTATCCTACCAGACGAGTCTGATACCAATTCACCGACCCCGGAGGGATGGAAGGCTTGTTTGGCCTAGGCAGATATTAATCCGAGACTCGAACCCGTGACCATACGAGTGTGAAACGCGCCTCTTGCCACTACACCACCTCTGCCCTTCATCCTTTGAAATTATTACTTTTTACTAAATATTGCAGAACATTGACTAAGTGATCAGCACCTCAGGGTAAAAGGATTAATATGAAATTGGTTTTGGTAGATAGGAATGATTTTGTTTTGGCTTTCCCCTGTAGAATGAAACCAGAGCATGTAAAGCTCAAGCGGAAACGCTTCTTTGCCCCTTTTTCAATATATTCGCTTTGTATTTGCTCAGAGTTCTTTCATGAAATATTTATTTCAATTTGAAATTCAAAGCCACTTCTCAGAAGGTCTCCCTCCCCATTTGAATGCTTTAGGAGAATTCCGGACCAAATTGAAGAAGTAAAGCCATGCAGAACTTCGGAAGTTTGGGCCCATGACACTTTTCAATTTTGAAGGAAATCGCTCGCATGGCTCATCCCCCTCTAGCTTTGAATTTTTGCTTCTAACTTTTCTCGATTCAATGAAATTCAGCTATTTTTCTTACAATTTGATGAAGGGCATCCAGAAAACAGATGTGTCATCGTTGTGTAGGCAATATGTTGGCGGCACAAGTCGGCACATCTGGCATTGTTCATCCAAAGGCGACCACTCGTCAGTTTAAGCGGAAATCTTTCTCAACGGAGTTTTTCTTCCCCGTGAATAGCCCCTGAAATGTATCCTCTAGAAACCACAAAACCCATCCGTTCCCTCACTTTCTTGAGCATAACGATCTCGCCCAACTTTTTCATGGTTCTATTGGTTTGCTTTGAACAACAACGCACTGGCTACGCACTGACGTCGTATCAGCAAGAAAAAGAGTCGGAAGAGATCGTGGAACTCTCCTAAAAATATTGTTTTTTCGGAATTAAGGGTCCAGATATACCAATTTTCTTATTCATTTTAACTTGGAGACGATTTTTGTTTAGAAAATTTGCATGAAACCTGTAAGGGAATACTTCATCCTTTCCTTTCCCTCTTTTTCTAACTCTAAAACCACTGAAAATGACAACTTGCACTCAAAGCTCCGAAAAAAAGTTTCTATTCTTCCATGTCCACGTTTTCTATCATCTGCACTCCTTGAACTTGTTCTTGTCAGCCTAAAGCCAACTATTCGGCCATTATTTGGTTATTTATTTATCCATTTGCTCACTTGTTTACGGATCATTCGTCACTAAATGTCCCCCTTCTGCATTCCTTCACGGTTTGTTCTTGCTTCTGATTTATCTTCTCTGTTTCAGATTCTCTCATAATTTTTGGTAACATTGATGATGGAAAGGTTAATCGGTACTCCACACGCGCCCATTTTTCACAGGCATACCTCCCATACAATGTAGGACCTACTCTTCAGGAGCCGTTTACCTCTAGAAGCTTCTCGATTCCGACTGCATGTCAGTACCTCCGATTTCAAGCCTAATGCAGTGCACATCCCAAATCGACTACGGGCAACGCCAGGACATTTTGCTTTTCATTGCGCCAACTAGCAATAAGCGCTAGTAAACAAATTTTGGCAGTGACTTTTTCTGACTTTTTCATCTATCGTCTACTCCTCATACTTCTTCTTATAAAGACTACATATGTTGACATTTGAGCAAATTTATTGAATTAAGGGGAGACAAATCAAAGAAGTAATTCCGGATCGATGCCCGCCCAGGCT